TTCAGGGGCGCCTGGGTGGCTCAGCGGGTTAAAGCCTCTGCCTTCGGCTCAGGTCATGATCCCAGGGTCCTGTGATCGAGCCCCACATCGGGCTCTCTGCTCGGCAGGGAGCCTGCTTCCCTTCCTCTCTCTGCCTGCCTCTCTGCCTACCTGTGATCTCTGTCTGTCAAATAAATAAATAAAATCTTTAAAAAAAAAAAAAATGACTCAAAATTTCAAACCCAGATAACTCAGGATGGTACCACCTTTAACAAAAATCCATGTCCATGAAAAGGACTGACTTTGAAAGGAAGATTTTAAATTTGGTTTCGACCATAAGAGACTCTTAATCTCACAAAACAAACTGAGGGTTGCCGGGCTTGGGGGGTAGGAAGAGGGTGGTGGGTTATGGACATTGGGGAGGTATGTGCTATGGTGAGCGCTGTGAAGTGTGTAAACCTGGCGATTCATAGACCTGTACCCCTGGGGATAAAAATACATTATATGTTTATAAAAAATTTAAAAAATATTTTAAAAAATTTTGGTTTCAATATTTGGACTTTGCTACACTTGATGTTAGCCAAAAGTCCAAGAAGCAATTGCTATTTTGACTTTATCAGAGTATCGTTACTAAGTGGAAATGTCCAGTAATTAGCTGGACATGAGGAATTCTTAAAGCTTAAAGACTTAAAAGGGCATTCATTCTTTTTTTTCAGTCTGGTCCTTCAAAATCTAATTTCAGAAGCCCCCTATCTGCTTGGCCCTGAATATGTCTGTCAACCTGGGCAAACAGACATTTTTGCTTTATGTGGTTCATAGTAGTCCAGCTGATGGATTCTCTCCTGGCTAGCTGATGGGTAGCTCTGGAGTTCTGGGTCTGGATGTCCTGTGCCAAACCTGAATAGGCATTCTCCCTCAAGTGTATTTTTACCTGAGTTCAGTTGACTCTGTGGTGTCAGCCCCAGAAGCATTTTACAAAAATAATAAGCCATTTTGTTGAGCTTTTACGGAGGTGTCCCTTTGACAAAATCAAGAGCATGGAAAAATTCCCTTTTTAAAAAATCATTGAAAATAGAGAACCTGATTCTGGATCTAAATGGCCTTTGGTTGAGGTTGAAATTATCAACTGTTGATATTGTAGACATTTTTCACGGTAGCCACCTTCCTAAGCAATTGTATCTTTTATAGGTTGCTGAATGACCATCATGATGATGCCTCCAAGTTTATCTGTCTTCTAGCAAAGCCCAGCTCCAACTCTCTAGAACAGGAGGATTTTATCCCTTTACTTCAGGTAATTTTCATTTCCTTCTAAAAATAGGTTTTATTTTTAGAGTTTCAGAGGTTTTTAAAATTTTTTCCACTGTAAGATACATCAACCGAGATATACAAATCTAGGGTCAGATTTCTAGCATAGTCGTTTTCAAGGTCGTTTTAGGAACAAAATCATTTTGTGTAATGAAAATTAACACAGAAATCATAGTTTTAAACTGATAAAACAGGGCTAGTCCCACTGAAGCAGAGGAGGGGGCACTATTCAGTCTCCCCCTTACCCAGCTACTGCAAACACTGAAACACCTTCTGAAACCAGAAGTTTGGTCTACTTGGCCCAGATGACCTATCTCCAACAGAAAGAGCGCACTTGAGGAGTATTTATATCTAGGCCTTCCAGTAAGAATCAGTTACGTGCCAGTATCGGATCTGTTTTTGCTGTAGCATTCTTCATAGCCTGATATGTTACTTGTTAATATTCTTAATTTCATGTCTAAATATTTGGTTTTCCTAAGCAGATCACAGATTCCTTGAAGCTAAGGCTTGCCTTTCATGTCTGTTGAATGCTCATCATTGTTTTAGCTGTTTTAGTAAATCCTTGTTGACTTGTTAGTGAGGATGCCTAAAGAGAGACAGAAAAATACATTGACAATAGTTTTATGGTTTAGGTTTTGTTTTAGTTGTATTCAAGGCTACCATCATTTTTTTGGGTAATTTTCTTGTTGAAATATAACATGCACACAAAAAACACAAATCATAAGTGTACCAGCAATCAGTGAATTTTCACAATGTGAGCACATCTGTGTAACTAGCACCCAGATGAAGAAACAAACCTTACCAGTACCCCCAAAGCTCTTCATGTTCCTCCCAGTCACTGCCATCCAATGGTTACCACTATTCTATGTCTAATAAATATGACATGGATTTTTAATTATAATAACAAATTTCCATGTTTATGATTTATTTTACATTCATGGTCTTCAAGTTTGTCTTAACTTGCATGATGGCCCTGATTATCTTTAGATTCATATGCTACATCTTATTGTTCCCCTTTAAAAAGTACTCATGAGAATGAGGACACTTAGTAGTCTTTTACATTTAATTAGGATCATTATACATAATAATACCCAACATTACCTCTTGCTACTTATGTTTTGTCAAATCACAAATATTCAGTATTTGAACTGTATTTCTAAAACGCTATTTTTGTTGTAAGCTGCGTGATTTTTTTTTTCACTTTAATTCCATATAGTTAACATACAGTGTTATATTAGTTTCAGGTGTACAATATAGTGATTCAGCAATTGTATACTCAGTGCTCATCACAGTAAGTGTATACTTAGGTCTCTTTATCTATTTCACCTCTCCCTGACCTACCTCCTCTCTGGCAGTTTATTCTCTGTAGTTGTCTCTTTTATTTGTCTCTTTTTTTTTTTGTTCAATTGTTTTGTTTCTTAAATTCCACATATGAGGAGCACCTGGATGGGACAGTTGGTTAAGTGTCCAACTCTTAGTTCAGCTTTGGTCATGATCTTGGGTTTTGGGATCAGGCCCTGACTTGGGCTCCGCAAGCAACACAGAATCTGTTTGGGAATCTCGCTCTCCCTCTGCATCCCCCACCCCATTGGTCTAGTATATGCGTGCTCGCTCTCTCTCTTAAAATAAATAAATAAATCTTTTTAAAAAATTCCACATGAGTGAAATCATGTTATTTGTCTTTCTGTGACTGACTTATTTCACTTAGCAGTATACCCTCTAGTCTATCCATGCAGTTCCAAGGGGAAGATTCATTCTTTTTATGGCTGAGTAATATTTCATTGTTTATATATACCATCTCTTTTTTATCCATTCTTCTACTGATGGACACTGGGACTGCTTCCATAATTTGTAAATAATGCTGCATATACCTTTTTGAATTAGTGTTTTTGTTTTCTTTGGGTAAATACCCAGCAGTTGAATTACTGGATCCTATGGTAGTTCTGTTTTTAACTTTTTGAGGAACCTCCATACTGTTTTCCACAGTGGCTGCACCAGTTTGCATTCCCACCAATAGTTCATGAAGGTTCCCTTTTCCCTGCATCCTCACCAACATTTGTTATTGCTTATCTTTTTTATTTTAGCCATTCTGACAGGTGTGAGACCATATCTTACTTAGGTTTTACTAGCATTTCCCTGATGATTGATGATGTTGAGCATCTTTTCATGTGTCTTTTGACCATCTATATGTCTCTTTGGAGAAATGTCTGTTTGAAAACATTAGATTTTAATAACAGTTCTCTATCCACCCTTTACCTTTACCCCTCAATCCATTCTGGCCCTGCTCTGACTCCTACAAACTGCATCTTTTGGGTCCCCATCTCTGGCTAGCTTCTGGCTGAGTCTGGCCAGTGGATTGTACTGCTAGGAGTGGGCATTTTTTTCCTAGTCCACTTCAGCACAGCAACTATATCTGTATACTACAGCTTCTGAGGGATGGCCTCTTCTCCATAGTTTGAGTGCCTACCTCACTCCCATAATGCTATTCCCTGCCTTGTCCCTCTGTCTCTAGAGATTGTAAGGGTATCCTTCTGTTGCTTGTTCTTGGTGCCTCACTATTCCCTTGTGTTTTCCCTTCACCTGCCCATGACATAGTCCCTTCATGAAAGGTTCATATGGGTAAATTCTTTTTCCTCTGGGGACCCTACTCCTGACTGAGTTTTATTAGAAGCTTTAATAAAATCATGGACAGGAATATAAATTAAATCCATATCAAAAGAATTACAAACAATAACAAAACTATAATTATGAGTTAGTAAACATTTATACTTTATATAGGAGGAATTTTATTTTTCTTTAACAAGTAGATTTATGGAGTCGTCAAGTAAAAGCTGACAGACTGAATACTAGATACATTCTTCTCCCATGCTTTACCAAACTCCTCTAAAGTGAAAATTTAGAAATTTAAAGGGAATTAACACATGAATGGAATGGTAGAGAAGAATGGAAAAAAATTAATGTCAAGCAATTTCCAATTTCTTAAAGCTAGAAAGTAGAAACAGACTAAGGAAACCACAGCCCAGAATGAGGGGCTATGTATGGACTACAGTAGAGAAATGAGATACTCTTCTCTATTCTCTTAGTAGGATCCCAGAGCAACTGTAAAGTTAGGGTTGGCAGTTCTAATGGGAAGTATTAGAAATGAGGATTCTTTGAAGTTTGGTATATAAAACAATGGAAACAGTTGACGTCCTACTTAATTCCCAAAAGTAAAGTGCATACTGGCATTTACTCACAAGCCTAAACAAAGTAACAAACAGTAATGCATGCTAAGACAAATTCCAGTAGAGAAATATCCTAGATAGTACCTGACTAGTAGTCCTCAGAACTATCAAGGTCATCAGAAAAAAGGAAAGTTTGCAAAACTGGTAGAGCCAAAAGGAACCTAAGGAGATGTGACAGCTAGATGGAATATGAGGTCCTGGGTAGGATCCTAGAACAGAAAAAAGATACTGGGCAAAACTAAGTTAATAAAGTATGGTCTCTCATAATAGTAATAATAATAATGTGTCAATATTTATTTATTAACTGTAACAGATGCTAATGTAATGTAGGGTATATAGGAACTCTATACAGTCTTACCAATTTTTCTTTAAAAATTGTTCTAAAAAATTAAGTCTTTGTAAATAATAATTACTATATTCAGATAGATTATATAAAATAAGAATAGAATATTATGAAAACAGAAAGCTAATACCAGAAAGAGCTGTTAGAATTTTAAAATGTAGGGGAGTCCTGGGTGGCTCAGTTGGTTAAGCATCCTACTCTTGATCCCAGGGTTGTGAGTTTAAGCCCCACATTGAGCTCCACACCTAGTATGAAGCCTACTTTAAAAAATTTTTTTAAATGTAAGTACCAAAATCTGAAATTTCATTGTAAGTCCTGGAAACTAAAGTTTAGGATATCTCACAGGAAGGAAGAGAAAGCCAAAGAGAGGGAGAAGGAGGGAAGGAGGAAACATAGAGAACTAATTCAAGAATTTTGACAACTAACGAGTCTAGAGAAGAAAGGAGGGAGAGAAGGAAATCATCACAGAAATAATACGGAGTGGGGGAAATTCAAGAGACTGGGATGATAAGATGGGTACAAAGAGCTAGAACCTAGTAGGATTCTTTGGGATCCCTGTTTCCTTCCTTGGGAACATGCCTGTGTAACCAGCATATAGTCAAAAATATAATTTGAGGGGTTCTGGGTGGCTCAGTCAGTTAAGGATCTACCTTCCGCTCAGGTCCTGGGATCAAGCCCTACATCAGGCTCCCTGCTCAGCAGGGAGTGTGCTTCTCCCTCTCCCCTGCCCCTGCTTATACACTCACTCTCTCTCCCAAATAAACAAATAAAATCTTTAAAAAAAAAATAGAATTTGACACTCCCACACCAGACTTTCCTGCTCCCTCTAGTCCTGCCCACAGAATTAAATAAATAATATAGAATACAGGTCTTTTGATTGAAAAAAGCCAAGTACAGTGAGTAAAAGAAAGAAACATACATAAACATGTCATCAAAAGATTTTAGAAAAATGCTCATGAAAACAAGATACTAAAAGCTTTCAGAGAGAAAAACCAGGTCCCTTTAATAAGAACAAAAATTGGGGTGGTATTGGATTCTCATTAGTAACTCTAGGAGTTATGGATTTGAAATCAGATTTCCAGTATCCTGCTAAGCTATTAGTCAGATATGAGATTAGAATAAAGGCATTTAAAGGCTCAGAAAGTTTATCTCCCTATTTTCTAAAGAATTACTGGAATAGATACTGTATCCAATTAAGTAAACCAAGGGGCACCTTGGTGGCACAGTAGGCTAATGCCTGGCTCTTAGTTTAGGCTCACATCATGATCTCAGGTTGTGGGATTGAGCCCCAAATCAGACTCGATGCTCAGCGTGGAGTCTGCTTGGGATTCTTTCTCCTGTCTCCCTCTGCCCCTTCCCCACACATGCATGCACATGTGCCTGCTCTCTCCATCTCTTCTTCTTGCTCTCTAAAATAAA